CGGCGGCCGGTTCTGGCTCTGTGCTTCTCTCCGATCGCTGAACAAGGGAAAGCTGCGGCGTTAGGACATGGGTGCGGACCGGCGGACCCCCTGTGCGGGGAAAGGAGGAGGAAGGTGTGGAGGAGGGGGGAACATTAAAGGCTGCTACCTTTTCAGGCTTTAAAGGAAATTAAAGATCTGAGTAACTAAAATGAATCTGTTCAGCAAATTATTTAATTCTTTTTAGTGTTTTAGTCTTCTGGTTTTCTGTTAAGTGATGGATTTCACAAACAAGGTTGTTAAACAATTAGCTAAACATTCGTTATTAATTGCGTTCTTTTCTTTTAACCTGTCTAGCCTGACAGAAGACAAAAGGCAAAGTGAAAAAGATGGCACATCCTGAAAAAATCAGTGGTAAGTGATGCTGAATGCAAAGGCTGTCGAAGAAAATTTCAGCCATCTTGTTAATTCATGGTGTGTTGCATTTGTTATCTATGCCTACACCAAGTACCTTTGTAATACTGCTTTCTAAACAGGTGATACAATCTTGTTCTTAGAAGTACCTGTAAACATAACCTGTTCCGGTCTTTGTGAGGTTGGTTTTTTTTCAACCTGCCACAGGCGTTGCAAAGGTGGCTGCTGTGGCACCTTTGTGTCATTAGGTGGCAGAGAGAGACAGGCTATGTTCTACGCTCGTTTGTTCTGAAACCAGTGAGCACTCCGAGTGATTGATAGCCTGACATTGTTTTTAAATAGGTCGGTTAATAGACTCTTGAGAAACTAAGCCTTTCCCATTTTCTATTTGCCTTTAATGTGAGATCTGTACATAATAGAGTAGAAAGGTGTCCTGTTTGATCTGTAGTGGATGTGCAGCAGAAAGGCTGTTGGTGGCTTTCTGATTATTTAGCCTTGAAAACAATAGGATCCCTTTGGTACATAGAGTTGTACTGTAAAAGAATGAGTTGATCTGTCTAAAGCCACGTGGCAAGTTGGTGACACTAATGGAGCATGGCTTTGGGGGTCACGTGCTGGCAGCCCTGACCCTTTTCCTATCTGAAAGTAAAACTGTCTGAGCTATACTTGCATTTGTTTTGCTTCCCTCTCTTACTGGGCCTTTTGAACTTCTGTCGTCAGTGAAAATGACCTTATAACCAGGATTTAAAGTATGTCTAAATATAGAAAATAAATGTTGAATGTATTTTCCACTTATTTTTAGAGAAAGCCGTGGGATGTGGCAGACCCGGAAAGTCTTCTCCAAGACCTGAGGTGAGCAGCAGTGGGTGCAAGCTTCCCTGATGAGTAGCTCCATGCCCCAGCTCGTGTTGCAGACGTGGCTGCAGTGCCATGTTTGTGTCATTAGGTGGCAGAAAGGAAGAGGCTGTGTCTTTGCTGGTGCTCTGAAACCTGTGAGCACTCAGGAACGATGAACAACCTGACAATCATTTCTTGTTTTTCCTGTATATTTTTTTTCTTTAATGTTAAATTTAAACCGTGAAGGATGGACAGCTGGGGAGGGACAGGGTACAGAAGCTAGCCACGTCCTTCAGGGTGACAGACAGTCACTCTCATGATGAATGCCTTCTTTATGTGGCAGACGGAGAGATGTGACTGACTTTCTGCTCTCATGTTCTGGTTTTTAGAAGTGGAACTTCTGTGTTTTACTAACACTGTTAAAAACTAGTTCAGATTTTTTGCATATCGCATCCTTTATAGTTATGAAGGAATGGCAAACTCCAGTCTTCTTTATTCTGTTACTCTTGAATCCTTGGAGATCTGCCCTCCTGACATGTTAATGTCATCAGGGGTCAGCGATGAAGGGGCTTCCTGTGCCTGGAACCCATAACTGCTCAGAGATTAGTACCTTGATGCTGTTTCCACGTGTACCGCTTTCTCCAGAGAATCAGTGGAAGACGGAGCAAAATTCCCTTGAAAAGCAGTTAAAATTTTGCCAGTTTTAACTGCATCAGGGGAGCATTCTTCCTCCTCCCCCCCAAGGACAAATAGAAGTGACAGCTCTGTTCTTAAATTCTGGTTTTGCCTTCAACAGTCCTTTATGGCTTGCAAGACATCCTTGCTTGCCACCTGTCCTGTCTGCGAAAGGGCACCTCTTGTGTTCTGCAGGGTTTAGCATTATGTAGCTATCAGAAATCACACCTGGGAGTGGAGGCAGTGGGGGAAACAGGCGCTTGAATTTGTTGTTTGCAAAGTTTTGTCATGATTTAGAAACAGCTGGGTGTGGATTCAGCATACAGAGAAAATTGCACCCTGTTCCCAGGATTAGTATAACACTCGGCCAACAACATCTTGGCCTCCATGGGTGCTGAGTAAGTTTGACCAGAAGGTGCAATCAGCAGTCTTCTGAAATGCAGCTTTATCATCGTGCTTGCTTTTGGGAGGAGGGGAACAAAACAAACAAAACCCAACACCCCTTCCCCTAAAATAACCCAAGCTGAAGATCTTTTTCCTTCTTACAGTTGCTTTTGAGAACAGGACCTGAGTTCTGGGAAGTGATGCGAATGGTGCAGGTAGGCATTGTGTCATTTCTTGAAAACTACTAAACCTCAACATGTTACCAAAGCAGAGTCTGGGTAGAAGTCCTTGGGTTGGTACATCTCGTCGTTCTGACTTCTTGTGGGACAGGGACAAATAAAATAAAAAAAAAATGCCGCTAGCGTACCTGCAGAAAGAACTTGAAGTTCAGTATTTCTCTTTGTTTCTGGAAAACCCTCTACTTCAGGTGGAGTGTTTTCAGGTTCCTCGGTTTTGCTAATGCAGTGATTTTTGTAAACAATCTTAAAAAAAGTCAATTAACTTTTTTAATTCACTTCCTCAAGCTGCCTTTCTCAGCTCCCAAAATGCATCCTTTCAAGGGCAGCTGTCAGCCAGAACAAGAGACGTTTATTGGGAGTTTATCCTTTTACATTTGGAGTGCCTGAGATTATCAGAACAGGCTCCTGTACTGCTGTGGTCTGACACAAAATGCTACTGAAAAACAGTTTGTGTCATGGATGTGCAAGGTAATGAGACTGTGTTTTGGGCATAATGAAGAAAGAAAATAAAAAGTGACTTTCTAGTTGGTTTGTGCTGTGTTTATGTGCTGGGGTGATGGTGAAGGAACTTGACCTGCGAGGCAGTGAGTTGCTGGGGAGCACAGGTATCACGGTGCATCCCAATAGCTCTGGGTGTCACTGTCCTTTCCTGGGTGATGGAGTGGTGAGGGAAGCTCTGACTACACGCAGTATTGTGAAACTCCGAGAGGCTTTGCAGTGACTAAATAGCTTGGTGAAATCTGGCAGTGCTAAATGGTGGAAAATGTCCTCATTAAATGGGCATTATGAGGGCCAAAGGTGCCATTAACCAAGTGGGCAGCTGCTGGCTGCAAAATGAGCCATTTAATTGGGAAAAGGCAGTGACTACCAGCAGTGGCTTTGGAAAAGAATGCTAATAAGGTTGTTGGGGATATGGCTGTGCAAAGAGGCATGCCTTTAAGATACGACTTTCTTATTTAAATTCCCTGACTTTTTAACCCTGAAATACATATTTGAGGGTTTTTTTATCGGACTTTACTTGCATCAAGAGTCCTGGAGGGGTTGTGAGTGCCTAATGAGTCTCTCTTTAGAACTTTACCGTGTGAGGCATAGGATAGCTATTAAAATTTTCCTAATAGCATTTGCTGCTAGCCATCTTCCAAAGACAGCAGCAGTCTCGGGCTATGAATATTGCTTTAGTGAAAAAAGTAACCTGGCTCAGCTGTGGAAAAGAATTAATGTTTTGTATTAAAGCCGTTTTGATTTAAAAAATCTTTCTTTACGTTAACTTGACCCTTCACTGCTTAGGACTAGTTTATGTCATGGCTTCGAATGCTGGAATAAGCCCAGCTTTTCATTGCACTATTAATAGCATCCCTCTGCGTCAAGGTTGGCAAATTCACCTTTGATTTTTAGAGAGCCTAAGAATGAAAGAGCAGCCAAGAGCAGGCTCCAGCTGTCGTGCTGTTAAATTATCCCATTCCCAGGCTCACCAGACTTTTTTGTCAAACACTTTCTGATCTTGTGGCAAAGAACCTCTCCTAAATGAGTGATTTATGAGTGCCATCTGCCTCCTGTCACTGCTTTAGCTCCTGATCCACACAAGTTTGCAGGCACTCGGCTCCCACTGACTGCAGTGGATGTGGCCAGCGTGAGCTCAGGTGTCCCTGTGGTTCTGGACTGGAGTTTGGCTTTCTGCACTGTGAATCACAATAACCGAGCCCAGCTAATGAATTCCCTAAAACTTGGTTTCATTTATGAAGCTCTTGGGTTTTTCTTCCTCTGGGATGTCAAAAGGCTTTGGACAGCCCCAAGACAAACCCGGTGTAACTCTTCAATTAGCTGACAGAGTTGCCTCTGAAATTAAAAGCAATTCTCTGTCCCGATGGACCACAGTGACAGCAGGAGTCTGGATACTGTGGATTAATGAGCTGCTAACTTTTGCAGGCTGTGTTTGAAGCTTTCTAACATCCTGGGCCTTGTTCTATTTGCAGGTCATCCCTTTGGTTTTTGAATTTCTAGCAAACCTGGCTACAGCAACAGAAATGGTTGGCAGAGTCTGCATTTGAAGATTCCCAGAACTTCATCTTTTCTCATACGTGGGTTCAAGCACGCTACAGCCACAAAGTGCATGCGATGCTGCTTGTCCTGAATGTTGGCTGCAACCCGTGTCCTCAAATGTGCTTTTTAAAAAAATTGCAGCTCCAGGTGGCCTTTTCTGCTTTTGCTGTGCTGTTCAACAGCCACAGGAGTCATAATCTTGCCCTTCTCCCAGTTATTTTGGCTTGTACGCTGTTCTCACAGCCATATTTTCACTGTTGTTTTAATCCGTGTTTTTCCTACATTAAGAAGGATTTTTAAAAAGCAAAAAACAAACAAAAACCACCAACCAGAAAACCACAAAACTAAATAAAAATGCCTCCTATAAGAAGTCTGAAATGACTATGCTTGTGTTTTGTAGCACCCCAAGTAGTATTTTTTGCAACCATTCTGGGATTTAAGACTTTTATTCATGGATATGAAAGCCAGGATGGTTTTCTTACTTTAAACAATGAAAGGTTGAAGTTTGGCTGTACCCCCATCCCTTTTTGCACAAACCTCTGCTGCACTGGGTGAGATCGGGCTGTCAGTCTCCTGGCTCTTGTGCACATCAACTAGCTTTCCTTTTATAACCTTTCTCCAATATTGTATTGTAGCTTGTACTCTGGGTTTTGGGGTTTTGTGATTCCTGAGTGTCCCCTGCTCTTGACTGGGGTGTGCACATTGAGAACATGGTGATGTGACAGTTCTTGTCAGCAATGTCTTTATTTGAATAAAGCCATCTTGGCTGGTTCTTTGCAGTACTGGGGCTTTCTCCTTTAACTTGATCTTTCATCATAAAGAAATTCTAATACTTGGATGGTGGTTTTTCCTCTTCTAGGTGCTTACCTGCTGCTTTATCTAATCCAGCTTCTGGGGAAGGGAACACTGGGGATTAAATGTAGTGGGAATGCCACTTTCTGGACTAAATTTACAAGTAGGTTTCAAGCACAGAGGGGAGGGTGAAAAATGGCTTTCCTGAAAATCTGAAGAGAGGATCTGGCATGGCTGTTAGGTTCCTTTTCCTAATAGCAGCAGAAAATGAATTTGCCAGTGGTGCTGGTTGCCATGGGAATGCAGGACAGATGGGGAGCTGGGGTGGCTGCATGGAGCCAAATCCCAGTGAATTCCAGTCCTCTCGTGGAGGTTCACCTGAACCTGCACCCTCCCCCGGTGCTGGCCCTGACCATCCCTGCGGTGGTCATGGACTGAGGGGGTGAGGAACTTCCACCCTTCAGCCAACCCTCACCAACGCTTGACCTCACCACGTGAATTACGGAGCCAGCTCCTGCGGAGAGCAAGCAGCACTGGATTTACAGCAGTGTTGGCACCGAAACATTTCCTCCATAAATAAGAGAGAGGTAATGATGATCCTATAGAACCAATAGGAGGAAATACTGATATCTTTCCTCCAAAGGGCTCGTAAATTTGCAGCCGTGACACTCCTGATTGCCTTCACTGGGTATATGTACTGTCAGATGTGGGGTTTTTTCTCGGTGATGATGCTTCAGATAGAAGCTCCAAGAGCACCAGCATACGGGCTTTTAATACAATTGTGCTGGGAATGAGCAAGCTTGGAGCAGTTTACATAAACTCTTCCTCTCTACCCGTAGTTTTAAAAGATTGCTATAACTGAGCATTTAAAGGAAACAGACTGTAGTTAAGAGACCTCATAGTATTTACACAGCCAGACAAATGTCTCAAAACCTGCTGAAAGCTTGCCTGGAAATTCATTTTAATTATGAGAGAAGCACTGGATTATTCTGGTATTAATCTTTAACCTCTGCAGTGCATGCCTGGCTTAGTTTTAGGAGAATTATCCCAGAGGTTGACTTATCCCTGCTGTGAGTATTGCAGGGAGGAACACGCAGGGGACCCAGTCGGGGTTGTTTGTGTTGTAGCCCTTTTCCTCTAAGCTATTTGTGGCTTCAGATTCTCCCAAAGCCCAGGTGTAGAGAGCGGGAGCCTCGCACGAGCCATCGCATCGCTGTCTGGGGTCAGGCACTTAAAGGGAATGAAGGAATTGCCAGGAGTCTCCACTGGGGGAAAGGCAGCTTCTCTGCTTCCTAAGCTACAGCTGGATCTGACGGCGGATGACTCAGATACTTAAGGAGAGACTTTTGAATAGGGAAATCTACCTTTTTCTCCTTTTCAGAGCGCAAGCAAGCTGCTTCTTAAAAGGCTGCTGTTTCACTATTGATGTACTGGTGTGATTCACGTAAAAGCTATTTATTTACATCAGACACGTTCATCAAAAGATGTGACAAGTACAGCATGAATGATTCATTCTCATCACTCTGCACTGCTTTCCTGTTCATCAAGAAGCTGTTGGATGCGTCCAGCTGGGCTCTGCTTCCTTATCGCTTTGCCAGTCATCATCTTCCCCCCAGCCCGTGGAGCCCGGCTCCCGCTGCCCCAGCTCTTGCTGATCATACCCATGGTCCTGCTGGGCGGTGGAATCGTGATGCTTGGTTTTCCATGAAGGAGAAGGGGCTGCAGTGATGCTGAACTCCCTGCGTAGGGTGGATTTTTCCTGCGGGGGAGGCAATGGGAGAAACGGGCCTTCAACCCTCTGCTGGGCTTTACTCCGAGATTGCAGATTCACAGCTCTGGGGCCGTGCGTTTTTTGCCCCCATTAGGAATATTTGGTGTTTGAAATCTTCTTCCAGAGCAAGGTCTTGAGGTTGTTCAGCACAAGGGAGTGGTGCACTTCCATCTGGCTGGCCAGGCCGCTGAGGGTCATGCACGTTCGGAGCTGTTTCTGCAGGTCGTCTTTCAGCTCCAGCGGTGCCCCGTACAGCAAATAGTCCTGCAGCAACCCACAGACCTTCGCCAGGTTGGGCTGCACCACGTCGCTTTTGCACTGCTTCAGCAGCTTGTCGCACGTCGCCGCGCAGTCCTTCCCGTAGGTGCAGTCCACGTTCTGCTCACAGTGACGGCCCTTGAGGAAACCTCTGATTGTCATCTCCGTCGCCACCTTACGCAGGTTGACCATTTTGAAGTCAAATTTGTCATTGTACCCCACGTTCTTGAAGCCGCTCTCGCAGATGTAGAAGCTCCCATAGGTGCCGTGGAATATCTCCTCCACAAACTCCAGGAGGCCGATGGCAATCTTCGCCCGCCGGGGCCACGCTGGTGCGAACCACTGGTGGATGAGCTGGTGGATGACTGAAGGCAGCAGCGACTGGAGGAAGGGGGGGACATCCACGCCGTAAAGGGAGGTGTGGGGGATCTTCTCAGTGACGTAGAGGTCCCCACAGTGCCCCAGCAGTTTGGGAGTGTGCTCTTTCTCATGCAAGGAGAGCATAAGAAGAAACTCATTGAGCTGGAGTAGTGCCCAGATGGATTTGGCCTCTGCTAAAGACACTTTCCCGTCCCGGTTCACATCTGCCATGGCGATGATCCGGCTCACCAAGGCTGTGAGAGAAGGCTGATCTCCCAGGTTGGACTGCGAACAGAACGAGAGGTGGCATCAGACCCTGCAGCTCTCTGTGCTCAGGCTCAGGATCACAAAACTGAGCTGGAGAAACAAAGAACTGAGCTGGGGAGAGGAGGAAACAGCCACCGTGCTCAAGCAAATTCGGTGCCGTACCATAATGTCTCCAGCAGAATTCTCCCAACCTCAGGGCTGCTCTAGACCTGGGTGGGAGAAAGCTTTTGAGATGTTTTCTTGGGATGGCAGCGCTGTCGTCCCCCCTTCACCTCAGTCACTGCTGCAGCAGTGCCGGCACTGCCGGCACCACCCGTGGGTTGTGAATGAGCTCTGCCCAGCACAGATCCCACCTGCAGCCACTGTACAGCAGCCTCCAGGATTGCTGCCATTCAAATCTTGCAAATGAGAATTTCTGTGTGAGAATGGAGGTTTTTCTCAGCTAATCCAGCACTTGCTCTGCAGGACATCGTAAGGAGCCCTGCCAGGCACCCAGTAGGTGGAGCTTGGGCCAGAGGAGCACTCATTTAAGGGGAAGGAAAGATGCATTTAGCCTTTATAAATCACAAGGGGCACCCCAGGCCTGCAAGACACCGCACTGACCTTTAGGAAGTTCAGGAGCATTTCTTTGAACTCATCCATCGATGTCCCTCGCGTGGGTTTGTCAAAGAGGACCACGTCCCTCCTGAGCGCAGAGTCCGGGTGGCTTTCTGCCTTCAAGACTTCCTCGATGCCGCATTTGATGATCACCTCCCGCTCCCGCCAGAGCCCGCTGTAAACCTGCGGCAAAGGAGAGGGGAGGAAAACAACCACAAGTGTGGAGAACAGGTTTCTGGTTCAGTTCAGGACGGGTACCAGGGATGAGGTGAGAAGCAGGGGTGCGGGTGGGCAGAGGAGGACGTTTTCCAGCTTTGATGCTTCCACCCATCTCTTGTTTTCTGGTGGTTTCCCCGGAGGGACCTACCTGCTGGGTGGGAGAGGAGGAGAGGCAGTGCTGGAAGAAGAGGCTGCGCTCCTCACACAGGTCTTTGCACGTGGAGCCAGAAATGATTCCTTTCTTGTACTGGTCACACTGGGGAGGGGAAGGCAGAGAGAGGCGCTCAGCGGGGTCAGCTCCACATTCACCCAAAGAAGTCTGATGGCTCACTCCCACTGCTTGTGACCTGGGGTACCCCAAACACATGAGCTATTCCAGTTTTGCTCCTGGGTGCTCCTGCTGCAACCCTGGGGGTTTGGGGAGCTGGGTGGGAGGAGCTGGGCAAGGATGAGGATGCAGGGGCTCAGGCTGCTCAGCAGAGCAGCAGCCCCTGCTGTGAAATGAGCCAGGCCAGGCCCAGGCAGTGGCAGGGATGGGGACAGACGTGGCTCTGATCTGCAGATCAGCTCGGTTGGGAGCGGGAGGCATCCCTGGGCGGGAGAGGCAGCCGCTCTGCAGCTTCACAGCAAGGGCACAGCAGCCTGAGGGCTGCAAATGGGAGCTGCAGAAATTCACTGCATCTTTTCCCTCTGGTTTGGTTTGGTTTGGTTTCTTCCCCCCAGTGTGGAAGGGAATTAACCCCGGGACCTGCTCACAGGGGACGCGGCCAGACACAGCATCTTAAACCCCGAGCTCAGAGTGGGAATTAGCGCCTGAGCCCTCGTGGCCAGAGTCATGCAGAAAATCAAATTAAACGATCGTCGCTGTTGTTATGGCAATTCCTGCCTCCCGTCTCTGCTGAGGGATTGATGAACAAGGCCGTTTCCAGCCACAGCCTGGCATCCCCCTCCTCACCTGGGCTGCCTGGGCCACGTGTTCCCCTGCCATGGGGCACACACTGGGGGGGCTCCGCTTGGCCGCCAGCCCCGGGGATGCCGCTACCCCGTGCAGGGGCAAAATGCACCAAGCTGAGCTTCCAGGAGGGCTCTGCTCTTCGTGTAGGCTGGTGCTTTCATTAGGGCATGCCAGCAGTTACAGAGAGGTACCCACAGACCGGCTGCTCCCCTCTGCAGAGCTTGGGGGGGGTTGACGCGATGCTCTCCCTGCCCGCAGATCCCGCTCTGACATTGCAACTTCATCTCCACTGACATTAATCTGCCCGCGTCTGCCTGGCCTGCCCTGAACTGCATCCCTCCGACATCTCATTAAGTTGTTTTGCTGTCGCCCCGGCAGGATAAGGTCACCTCTCCCGCTCCAAGGATGGTGCCAGGAGGGCTCCTCAGCCCCGCTGGTGTGCAGGATGCTGCCCCTGCACTGCAAAGCACCGCACAGGGCTGTGGGGGCTGGAAATGGGGCTGCTGCAGCCCCGCGCAGCCTGGCACCCCAAACCTGGGTGGCTGCCA